TATATATATTTTCATATATGCAAGTGATCAAGTGAAGCGCTAATTACCAAAGTAGTCCCCGAGAATTGCACAATGCAATATAGTTTCACCATCCGTCCTCCTACAATTATTGTAGCGTTGAGGATCATCAAAGGCAGGGGTACAGATGTAGTGGAGGCATAAGAAGGCATCTTTTCTACCATGGAGAGCAGCCAAGAACAGAGGAGTCTCATTATCTTTGTTAAGAACATTGACCAAACACGGATATTCTTTGGCAATGCACTCACACATTCTCACATTCCCCATCGATGCTGCGAGATGGAGAGGGGTATTCCCTCGGTCATTTTGAATTCGAAGCTCCTTTTCAGTAACCAATTGTACTAGCTTTTCAACATGTTCTTCTTGGCCGTCGGACACTGCAATGTGCAATGCTGTGTCACCTGTCCTGGTGATCCTTGCGTTGCGAACCTGAGGATTTTGCCTATAAATTTGAACAACTTCTTTCCATTGGCTTTTCATGGTGATTTTGAACAAGTTTTTCTTGATGCTCTCAGTGTCTGGTTTAGTCATGTTGTTTGTTGTCGTAGAAGCCATTTTGATCTCTTCCTGCTATAATCAACTAGCAACTAAACACTGACGTTTGTGTTTCTGTTCATATTTGTATTCACTCTTGGCTCGAGCTACTGTATATATAGTTCAGTGTTAGCTGTTAACAAAAGAAGACTGAAAGCTTGTTTCTCAGAATCTCTAAGTGGGGTCAATAAGACTTGGATCTCAAGTAAGTTTTGTATGCTTTTCTAGAAGGCTTTAATTTCTTTAACAAACAAGAACCGTAATCTCATCTTCCTTTTACCCGAGGAAATTATTGAGGAAATTTTACACACTCATCTGTGATACAACACAGACTATAGCAGAAGGAAAATTAGTTTAGTCTTTACCTTTTTCTTTTGGCCAGTTATCTCTACTCTACCCTTTACACTTCTTTATTCTTCAAGGAAAAGAAAATAAAGTACACCAGTTCCATACATTCTGCTCTTTTCATTTTGGGGGTTACCTGTGGACATTAAAAGCAAGACTGCAAAGCATCTTAAATTATCATTTTGATGGACAGATCGCGACTTGAGCTTGATCTGATTTGGAATGACTTTTTTTGCACTACAAGTATTTGATGCTATTAGAGATTTACCTGATTGACAGATTTCCATGAAGAAAAGGATTGTTTGTTTTTTATTCAAGCAATATTCTATTTTAATCTAATCTAAACTACGTGAAGGGGGATTCGAACTTGGATGCAAAGTGAGGAGTACATCCGCTCTCACTAACTTAGCTAAGCCCATGTCTGCCTATAAGATGACCAAAGAGAACAATGAACTGAAAAAGGAGTGACTGCTACAATTCAGTGAAGTTCAATACATATTAAATCAACCACCAAAATTAATACAAAGTAGGCTATTATTTGAAAAAAGTCACTCGAGAAAACTTTAATATTGCTAGCATATAAATGAAGCCTCCTCAATCAAAGAGGAGCTACCCTTGTGACTCCCCTTTCGAATGGAACCTGGTTGAAGTTAGCACATATCATATTAAAATACAGAGGAAAGTGGCCTACAGCAAAAATAGCCAGAGGCATGCACGTTATTGCATAAACCGGAAACGCAGCATGTTTGAGCTTATCTTTAAGCATGAAGAAATGTCCTGCACAAAATGAAATCAACATGGAAACCATGGACACGCAGAGCAATGTCAATCCCAGCAAGAGCTTGCTTGGCAGCTCTTTTCCAAACTCCTTTTCCTTGTACCGGGACATAAGGATGGAGAGGAAAATGACCATGGATGTGACCGAGGAGCATAGTGCAATGAGCGAAGCAATGGCGAAGATGTCGAAAGCTGGCAAGTTTTCGAGGGTTGGTCTGCCAGTGATCTCTTTGATGCCACCAGGAACAGTGGTAGCAGTTGCAAAGGCGACCGTGGCAATAAGCGCGCCCATGACGGTGCAGGACTCAGAGGCCTTGGTGAGCCATGCCGCTCCGGCTTTCACAAGCTCTTTGTGGGTTTCTTTGAAGATGTCCTTTGCAGTCTTGTTTTCCTTATTGAAGCGGGGAAAGAAGCGTGGTGGCATGGAGGTTTTTACAATCTGCATATATGGTTCAAAGTTTGAGAACAAAAATGTTTACTAGCAGAGCAAGTCAGAGCTAAATCAAGAATGTAGATAGAAAATCATCACGAACATGTGAAGTGGTCAGAAGTGCCACCCAAGTAGTTATGCCTTTACACTAGCTATTCTTGAAAAATCACTTTGACAACTGTTTGTTTCATCAGTTTTAACAACTGTTTGTTTCAGATTTTGAAAAATTAATGTTATTTGATGACTTCTTAACATATGTGCTTTTGATATTTTTCATCCCCAAAGACCAAGAAATTCTGAAAAAAGTACTGAAAATATAATTTTGCTCTAAAGAAGCTTGTCTACAAGGAAAGAAGAGTCATTGGAAAATGGTCATTAACTCCAGAAGAGGCAATATATTCTATCTTGTTTGTTGAGAGTGTTTGTCCCACATTGAAATGTTAAGGGACCTAGCCTGGGTTTATAAGGAGTTGGGCTACTCCCCTCATAGCCAATTGGTTTTGGGGTGGAACCTCAACTTCCTTCACTATCTAGGTGTGTATCTATTAGGCCTTGTTTGGTGGCTGAGACGGAATCGTACAATAGTCTAACATATTATAAACAATTAATTAAGATTATGGGTTTAATAAAGTCCTCACCCGATACCATTTGATTTCCCATTGCATTTGGAAGGCAGGCCCATGAATTAGCCAAGGCTGATGGTCTCCCAACCTTGCTGCTAGATGTAGCACACTATTCCCTTTATTATCCACTTTGCTGAACATGTGGTCTTTGTTGGGGATATTCTTACTTAGCAAGAGCCGGTACACATGGAGCTGCCTGTTCTCCACAGCCACCAGCACTACATTCTTTCTCTCTGCGTTGATGTCACGGATGGCCACCGGAAAAAGCTCGAGGATCTTCTCCACCATCTCAGTCACACCATGTTTTGCAGCAATCAAGAAGGGTGTTTCCCTCTTTGCCAGTGCAAGGGTTTTCTTCTTCTCTCCCACTTCTGCCAATAATCACGTATTAGGTACATTTTTTTCTATCAGACCTACACTTTAGTGATTGGCAGGCTATAGCCGTTAGTAGAAAAAATTATTGAGTGTATCCGAAATAGCACGTGACATACTGCTATGGTGTATCAAATTCACACAAATCGTGAGATATATTTTTACCATTCTTTGGCTTATTATCATCTTGTAGTTGTGGGGGAGGATTCATAATGGGCTGATTGTAAACGTTAATGCTTCCGAGGGTGACAACTTGGTCACCATATTGATCAACAATTTCATAAGGCCATGTTTCTTGATCATCATTGTCATTTTTGTGGGATGGCGCTGTCTGGGGATGCATACCATTGTTTTCGTACGCATACATCAAACCACGTTTTAATAGCTCATTCATTATCTGAATTGACCATTTGTGCCTTTCCTTCATTGCCCTTATCTTTTGTATCTCCTTGGGCCCTGTAACCAATAGATGTATAAACGGATGCGTAGGATGAAACGTACCAAGATCAGAATTATAAATTAACTTCTTCTTCTTTTTTTCTTTTTTCTTTTGGAAAAGAAAGGTGCAATACCCCATCCGAAAAGAATCAGCAATATTGCCTTTAAGAAAAGCTTGACAAACTCAAAGCAGGTGATATAATGTCCGGGCAACGATCGATGTCGTCGTGTTCCATCATTTGATTGGGATCCTATATAAATCAAACTAGATTACTAGAATAAACACATTTTTCATGAGTCATGACTAATTAAACAGCGAAATTAAGAAATTAAATCATGACTAAGTACTAATTAATACAAAACTTACCTGGATTTCCTCTGTTCAGAGCATTAGGTACTGCACCTGCAGGGTTCTCTGCATCTGCTGAATTTTTCCGGCTTTTGCCCTTATCGTGTTTGGTAACTACACACAATATAGAGGGCAATGGATATTGCATAATAGAAGTATATAATATATGGTAGCTTGATCTTCAATCAATTGATTTGATTATAAATTCACATACCAAGAACTTGAGCCATATGCCACAACAACCGAAAAAAGTTTATGCACGTTTGATAGTTCCCTAGATATTTGGGATACTTTTCATCTTTGAATGTCTTGATCGTTCTCTGATCGTCATCCCAGTGACCCGGTCGTTCTGCCCTTTTGAGCTGATCAACATTTGTATCTTCCAAATAACCATAAACAATTAAGAAAAATCTCAATGCTTTTGCCATTGATATTATTCTGTTGTAATAGTTATATAATTATGTTACAGTTATACTTACAGTAGTAAATGATTTGGTCCCACGGCCCAAGCTGGCTCCCACTTGCGAAGGCATAAGGTTTACTTGCAAGAAGATGGAGAGGGGAGTATCCTTCCTCATTTACATAAAAACTTAGTTCTTCATACAGGTCAATTATCTGAAATGCCAAATCTGTCAATCACAAAAGAAACACAATACACGATTAATACTCTCAATTTTCAAGTGTGCTATTGATCAAACAAATTGATTTTAAGTATGCCAATTAGTTAATTACCAAAGTAGTCCCGAGCAATTGCGCAATGCAAGATTGTATTGCCGTCCTTCCTCCTACAATATTTGTAGCGCTGCTGATCATCATGAAGGCTACAAATGTAGTGCAGGCACAAGAAGACAGCTTTTTTACCATGCAGAGCAGCCAAGAAGAGAGGGGTCTCGTTTTCTTTGTTGAAAGCATAAACCAACAAGGGATGATGCTTGGCAATGCACTCACACATTCTCACATTCCCCATCGTTGCAGCGATGTGGAGAGGGGTGTTTCCCTGCTCGTTTCGAATTTGCAGCTCGTCTGTGGAGACGAGTTTTACTAGCTCCTCAACATGCTCTTCTTGGTTATCGGACACCGCTACGTGTAGTGCTGTGTCACCTGACTCTGTGATCTTTGCCTTGCGAGCCCGAGGGTCTAACCTATAGATTGCAACAACTTCTTTCCATTGGCTAGTTATGGTGATTTTGAACAAATATGTCTGCATGTTCTCCATGTTCTCTGTGTCCATAGAGCTGCTGCTCATGGTAGAAATCATTTCTTCTCCTCTCTTTTTTCTACTTAATTAAGTGGAAATTATATTGATAGGGACGTTTGTGTTCATATTTATACAACATTAAGAAATAAAGACTGAAATGAAGAAGAGTATTTTAGTAACTTGGATCTTTAAGTAAGAATAACCCTAATCTCATCTTTCTTTCACAAGCGAAAAAGGAGGGAATCATGTTCTTGTGTGATACTTAGAAACAGGCCGTATATAGTAAGGTTCCAATTTCCAAGAGGTGAAGAAGAACAAAGGCAAAACTCTCTGATGTCTACCCTTTCCCCAAATCGTCTCTTTATTTCTTTTGGTAACCCTTTACACTTTGTTCCTTTAATCTTCTATCAGAACAGATGCATTTAATTTCGGAATGACTTTTTTTACACTGCAAGTATTTGATGCGGCCAGAGATTTTACTTGATTTTTACAGTTTTCCTAGAAGAATAGTATTGCTAGGTCAAGGGAAAAACACACATCCAAATTCCGAAAGAGGAACAACGAGAACAATATAAAGGCTTGTATCAAAAGAAAATGATATAAAGGAACAGAGAGACGAGCAGAAAAAGCAGAAAAAAGCCACCAATTTTAATCAGCACAACAACAAAAAGAATTATTAAAGGGAGGCAAATGAGTCAAACAATTAAAAATACTCAAAAACAGAAGGTAGATCCGTGTCTCACTTGGCCTTTTGTAATTACTGGTTTGAAATTTTCTGTAGACATGGTTTTGACCGCATGCCTTACGCAGCTTATCAACTTATCTGCCATGTGACTTTGTCTGTGAATGATCACGACAGAAACCCGTAATCATTATTAGCTAGGACATGTACGTATTCAAGTTCAACCACCAAATTTAATACAATGTAGCATATCAATCAAATATACATCACTCAAAGAAAAAGTTCATTATCACATAGAAAAGATTAACAGCTGATCTATTTTACTTCATGCTCTAATGAACTCCACAGGTTCAAGCTTTGCAGGAGAAACAGCAGGATCCTCCACAATAGCAACCAAGTCCTCATCCTCCCCATTCAAATAAGCCTTCAAAAACGCCACAACAATCCCACCCACAGTCTTCCTCATGAGCTCCTTCGGACCCGTCCCATTCTTGCACATACAACCAGAAAGTGCCCCAACCAAGCCGGGCGGGTCGTCGTCCAACATGTCCATGTGACCATAGTCTTTGACAACAAAATGTGCACATGGAGGCTTGCACTCATAAAAAAACTCCTTGTGGTTCACGCCATTTGGAGCGCATGGCTGTGATATGCACGCATTCTTCTTTTCTGGTCCAAGGCCAGTGCCAATTACCGTGACCGGAATGGAGAGGTTGAAAGATTGAGGTTCGTAGGTGAGGATATGGGGCCTGATTGTGCAATGTTGGTTGGCGCCAGCCACAGGGTCAATGCCTATTAGCACTGAAAATTTGAGGGACAGGGCAGTTTTGGCATGCCCAAGTGCAAGTGCAAATGCTGCTTTGCCGCCTCTGCTGTGACCTGATAGAGCAAATTTGGTGAAGTCTGGTACAACATTTTCAGGTAGCAGGGATTGGAGGCCTTTTGCTAACCAGTTTATGACTTTGGCCCCGGAATCTATTTCTTCAGGTCCAGTTGAAGGCACGTATCCGTATAGCTAATCGAAGCACAACATAACGAATTAGTCTCTACTTTGTTGGAGGAGGTTGTGAGCTCAAATCTCGACAGTTGTTAGATTTCAAAATAAAATAAATAAATCATATTAAAAATGTACACTAGTTTAATAGTAAGACAATAGTACCTGAGGTGCAACAGCTATGAATCCATGTGAGGCTATATGTTGGAGAAGGTCTTGGTAGAAGTAGTTGCGGAGGTAGAAGCCATGGAGGAGCACGATTACGGGGTAAGTGCCGGTTACGGTTGGTGTGACGATTAACAAGGGCTTAGGAGGGGCTGAAGAATCAAAACAGGAAGAGCAAGGTGTCTCCTCTGTAACGCATTTGAAGGGGAAGTTCCCTTTGTCAAAAACAGACGTGGGCAGTGAAGGCTGAGAAGCTGACACAAGTGCCATGGGAGGAGCTCAGTGGTATGTGAGCCTATGGCCTTGGTTGTTTCTTATAGAAATGATTATGGTTGCCAAACTTGGCACAAAAGCTAAATTTGACAAAATAACAAGAAGGCAAAAGAAAAGGAAAATGAAAGTAGATAAACTTGTATACAACGGATATAGCACTGTTTTGTTATCCCCGACCAATCAAGTTTGGCTATGCATAATAAGACATTCATATGATGGAGTGTGATTGGATGAAAATAGCAAAATAATGACATTCCCTAACATGCAACTCCTCAAAGGAAGAGGAGTTTTAGGAACACAAGGAAAATGCAACTCTTTTAAAAAATAGGTCCATTTAACCAGTCCAAGTTTCAATGGCAGCTAGCAGAGGTACAATCAAAAGTGGGCTACTAGGACAAGTTTCACTACTTTTTCGAGTGGTCCAAATCTAAAGTGGGCCTAACAAGCCTAGGATTTTAGCACTGCTCTTGTCACTTTGTGTGCCCACCTAACTTTGCGTCACGGGCTGTGTTTTATAGCTTTTTTGTTTTTTGGTCGTATGTGTTTAGTCCCATTTCAAGTGGTGGTGTTGTTTCAAATTTTTTTTTTTTTTTTTCACAATAAAAGAACTATCAAATAATCTGCACAGAAGATATTGAGAACAAGTAAAGGAAAGTAGTCAGATAAGTAATTAAAGAAAATATTTCTTTTATAAGAAATTTTTTAAAACTCAAAATAGTGGAGAAAGCATTGATGGGCCTTGAGGTTAATGCCCAACCCACAACTGCTCTTGTTTAGGTTTTCTATTTGAGCCCAACAACTATCCAAGCCTCTTTTTTGCTTTTGACAAGGGGATATGGTAAACTAGTGTACCCGAATGGAGATTGAACTCGAGTGCAATTGAGTATACACGTTTTCTTGGCCAAATTGCTTAACCAACATTTGCCAGCAACTATCTAAGTTCACCCCCACATAATTATTTAAACATTAAAACTCACACAATAATTTATAATTTTTTTTTAATGGGAAATTTAAAGCAAACAGATCTAAAGAATTGATGAGAAGGGAACCCAAAAAAAGTTTCTAGCTGGGAAAGGCACATAATAATTCGAATAATAAAATAGTGGGACAATTGGGCCATTTACAAAGTATATGCTGATCAAGATTTCTCACATATTCCCGCTTTCGTATCACCTCCAAGCAACTACCAACTTCCTTCGCCACAAAGGTACACGCGAGACACATCCAGAACCTCCACTTCGCCACGCGTCACTACCAACTCAACCGCGAATTTCCACACGTGTACGAGATTTATCCGGAAGTCTCTAAACGGCACCCGTTGCAACCTCCTAAACCCCGCTTTCATTTGGACTTATTTACACCCCACGCCCCTCCTTCCACTCTTCGCATCCAAAACTCCTCACTTTCCCTCACTTTTCTGTAAAGAATCCCGAGAAACAAACAGGAGAGGTCGCTAAGGATTTCAAGTTCATAGCAAGATGTGGAACCAAGCGTACCGGAAGACTGACGTGGAGGCCGGAGGAGGACCGAGTCCGCTCTACCCGATGATGCTTGAGAGCCCCGAGCTCCGGTGGTCCTTCATTCGCAAAATCTACTCGATCATAGCCATCCAATTGCTCGTCACCATCGCCGTCGCCGCCGCTGTCGTTTCGTACCGTCCCGTCGCTCATTTCTTTGTCAGCACCAGTGCCGGCCTTGCCCTCTACATCGTCCTCATCATCTTGCCCTTCATCGGTATGCTTTGTGTTTCAGTAAAGTTGATTCCTTTTTGTTTTTTTTAATTTGTTTTTTTTGTGTGTGTGTGAATTCATTGTGAAATTTAGGGTTTTGATTTGTTATTTGGCGGCAGTGCTGTGCCCGTTGTACTATTACCACCAGAAGCACCCGGTCAATTACCTTCTGCTTGGAGTTTTCACCATCTCTCTTGCCTTTATAGTCGGCTTGACTTGTGCGTTTACTAGCGGTCAGTGCTCATAATCTTTTCCTTCGGTGATTGGGTTTGGTTTATATTTCGCTGCATTCTAGTGATTGATTATGAAAAACATTTAATTTTGATGTTTTAACTTTAGGAAATATATGTTTTTTGTAATGCTTAAACCCCAAAAGAAAATTAAACAACCACTAGTCTAGGCCTGGAAATATTTATTCGGATGATTTAATTCAAGAAATACATAGAATATAATTTTTTGGGGATAGCTGTTTGAATGGGATGGGACCAATAGTTTATGGAGTTTAATCCAATTGGCTAACAACATTGTGAATTTCCTGTAATTTGATCAACTGTGAAAACAGGGAAGGTCATTTTGGAGTCTGTGATTCTGACGGCTGTGGTTGTGCTTGGTCTCACCTTATACACATTTTGGGCTGCAAAGAGAGGCCACGATTTCAACTTCCTGGGACCCTTTTTGTCTGGAGCTATACTGATCCTAATTGTCTTTGCCTTGATTCAGGTATATGTCATGCTTGTTTGATTGAACCTTCTTGCTCTTGTGAATTCAATGTGCCTTTATTGTATTTGGGTAATTTTTAAACTGTTGGGTTCCTTTTGTTCTTCATATCTGGTTGCAGGTTTTCTTCCCCCTTGGTAAGATCTCTGTGATGATATATGGGTGCTTGGCTTCGATCATATTTTGTGGCTACATTGTGTATGACACCGACAATCTGATTAAACGCTACTCCTACGACGAGTATATTTGGGCTGCAGTGTCCTTGTATCTGGATATCATCAACCTTTTCCTCGCTCTGCTCACTGTTTTCAGAGCTGCTGATAGTTGAGAACTTGGCTGCTTAATGTCTGTTCCCCCATGTAATTATCATTGAAGTCGTTATGGTTTTCGAGTAATTGTGAATGTCTTAAAATAACTAAACTCTTATCATTTTACACTGATGAATAGTTGATTCTCATGGAAGATTTTTTGTGCTTGGGAGTATATATGCGTTTGATTGGTTCATTATTTCCATTGAACCAGATTACTGTTTTATTCAAATCCACTCAATGTTGCTTTTAGATTTTGGCCAAGTCCAATGTCAAAGATGAATGTCTAGTGTAAGCTTTCTTTTTGACATGGATTGCTCTACTTCGGATTTTCAGGCCAATGCACTTGAGATCATTGGGGTGTGTACTTTAAGTTGAACAGAAACCTATGTTTTGTCACCTAGCTTTAACATTGTTGCTTTTCAGAAACCATGGCGACTAGTTTAAGAGTCTATTTTCCTTTTCTTTTCTTCTTTTTGTTCCTCCCTCTTCTTCTATTTGGGGATCAACAACACTTTTAACCCAAGTGGGTTGGTCAAGAGTGTAGGCTGAGTAGGAGGAGCGCTGGTTTGAGGCGCTAAATTCTCAAAAATTGGAGAAATTATAGAATACTATTGTTGCACAGTACAGTCTAACTATAACATATATTTCCATAAAGCAGGTCACGTCCTTTGAATTGAATTCAAATGTGCTGTGCTTTTGCCCAGGACCTTTTACATATGCGCCTCCTACTACATCTCCCTATTTATACGAACAGAAGATTAAATGCCTGCGTTGGAACATAAACCAGAGACCCTAATTAATGCCTGTTCTTCCTCTCGGCGACAATAGACAGCAGCCTTGAAACTCCATGCGTCCACACGTCGTGCTCTCTCTGGTTCTTACACTCGAACTCTACGACCCCTCGTGCCTCTGTTTTCAGCCCAAAGTAACGACGCTGCTCTCCATCGTCGAACAAGTGTCTTCCTGGCCATGCAGACATGTTCTTGCAGACCTCCAACACAACATCTGCGCACCCAATAGAAAAGGTTTATGTTATAAATCTTAGTCAAAATGTTGTCACTAGGTGTGTCACGAGTTGGGTTGGATCGAGTCAGACGATTCGGTCAGTCAACCTGAAATTGTCCCCACCCCACCCCTAGCAGTCACCTTTAAGTGTGCCAAGTAGTAAAATAGGCTTACTCTTTTTCTTCTTGGTGAAAGTTCCTGCAACGTGTTTGCTCTTCATTTTTAGCATCACCTGCCCTGTTCGGTGAATATAAACAGATACTATTTTCCAGTGCAGATCGCCTGCAAATGTGCAAACCATATAGGTCAATATATATCGAATTTGGGTACTAAAATTTGGGTTTTTTGTTTTGAGGGTCAAGTTAAGTTATGGTTTTGAGAGTTTGACCTTTTCGTGTGCGTTTGAGGAGCTCAGTGCCCCTAGCAAGGAGGTCTTGGTTAGAGACCCCAAGAAAGGTAGTGTCTAGAGGAGAAGGGACAACAAGCTCATCACTAAAGCTGCCATTGCGTTCACCATTATTAGCTTTTCCGCAGACTCCGATTCCCATTCCCTTTTCCACTGGTATCACTGCTGCTATGTTCCACACCTCCTTCATTGCCCTTGCCTTTAGGGTCGCTGCCCCTCTTAAAGCTGCAATCACAGGACACAGATTTCATTTAAAGTAGCATTATTGATGTCTAATTAAATATTGGGTGGTCAAGAAAAATTACATGGTTTTCAATTTTATTACAACCTTGGAAAGAATATAACAACCATTCATTAAAAAGGGTATGTCACAAAATTTGAGTGATTTTATTTTATACAAGTAATGGTCTAAATTACTTTAAATTAATACAAATTATAGGAAGGAGATTCAAAATTGCGTGCAATGAGGCGGACAGATTGCCTGTAAATTTGAATAATATTAGAGGCATCATATTTTTAGACTATACTATGTTGATACGGTACATCAATTATTATGACTAGTAGCTAATTAACACATCGCCTAGTTTAGTAATGTGGTCTAAAAATGTAGAATCTTTAGTAAAATTTGGGCAAGATTTTGTCTAGTAATTTAGCTAGCAAGAATTAGTACCTGTGGCAGCGGCAGCTGTGAGAGTGGTAATGTCGTCGTGAGAGCGAACATTAACTGCAGAGCTGACCACAGAAGTGAGATGGTCATGCTCAGCTCCCATGGCTTCTGCAGCCTCAGCACATTGAGCAGCTACAAGCGTGGCAGCAGATGCCACAGCCATGTCTGTCTTGGCTGCTTGTTCGTTCTTTCTTGACGCTGAAGAAGCCGCTGTGGCTGCAGCAATGGTGGCCACAGCAGCAGCCACCGCGGCAACTGAAACAGCTGCGTGGACCTGTGCATTGTGGACTCTTGTCTCCTCCTTTTTCTTCTCTTTTCTCTCTTTCAGCCACCTCCCCACCGTCTTGGCCCCTCCAGCAGCAGGGGTATTGTTGGCATTTCCGGCACCGCTGCGGCTGGCGTTGAATAGGTTGTGGATGCTGTTGTGGGTTCGAAAGTACTGCGTTCACAAACACAACTCCATCATGATCAAGCAAAAAAAAAAAAGGGTATTTACAAAACTTATATTATAATTTAAACAAAATTCTACCTGATTAATGGTACAAATTGAGTTGTGACAACATGACATGTTAGGAGAAAATTTTCCATAAAAAGAATCCATGAATTTGAAAAGGAGTTGATCATTCAAAAGCACCAAGAACTTGGCAGATCAAATATCATGCTCTATTTGTTGTAGTTTTTTTGTGTTTTGGGCTGAAGGGTGAGGTTAGTTGGGATGTAGTGATGAGCTCTGCAAGCTTAGAATCAGTGCCGGGTTGCTTACAAGCAGCAAATTACTAAAACAAGCAAAGGTGCAGAGAAACAAGACAAGGCAAGAGCTGAAGTTACCAACTTAAAGCATATCTCTGGTTTGTTCTATTTTACACTCCACCCTTCCTTTCATTTCAAGAGACCCAATTTGATGCTCAGCTGCTGTCAGCTCATCTTGACTCTTGATGTCTGAGCTCTAGGCAGAGCCTAGACCGGTGCCAAGCTAACTGGCATCCATGTTTTGTCCCTACCCTTTTTCTTTTTTAATTCATTTTCTCTTTTGGTTTAGTTATTTTGACTTGTAGAAAATAAGGCTGGGTTGATAAGACATCCAAAACAGATTTTTAAGGAAATAATAAAAGTTTCTTCTATCTTGAAAGGAGAGAAAAGAAAAAAAGAGGAAAGCATCTCCTGCATTTTTCTGTGCCTATAAAACATTAATGCAATAAAATAACACACAGATTACTGAGTAAAAGGACATAGATGTATCATCAGATGGTGTGTGGGTGACAGAGGAAAACAGAGAAAGCTGAGGGGCATCGTCACATTGGTCTCCTTGTTTGTTTTCCTTCTTGGACAAGAATTGTGGAAATTTAAACAAAATACCATTAAAATAAGGCTAAGACTCTGAAGAAACAGAGAGGAAGGAGAAGAAGACCTTAACGACGTCGTCGTATTCCTCAGAGGGAGAAACTGGAGGGCTATCTGTCTCTGTTAGAGAACCACCAGCGTTCAAAGGTCCACTGCTGTGTGAGAGCCTGCCTGATGTTAATGGAGAAACTTCCTGCAAAACCCAGAAGAACTTTAAGCCAAAAAGTAAATAAAAACAAGAAAGTAAGAAACTTGAACAAATATGAAAGAAACAGGAGCACACCTCTCTCATGGACTGAGACATAATGCGATCAAGCACAAGCTGAGAAGTCGCAGAGGAAGCAAAGTAAAACTGATGGCCAGAGAGAACTGGAAGCTCCTCTGACTCTCCAGCAATGTCTTCAGGTATAGTGGAAGTGGTGGTTGTGGTGTTGCATGAAGAGGAGCTGTTTGAAGAAGACTTGGAAGAAGCCATGCAAGAAGGAGGCAGAGGAGGAGGAGGATGAGACAGAGCTTTGGAGACTTCAAGAGCAGAGGCACTCCAAGACCTTGACAGAAACTCCATTGGAGCTCTTGGGCTTTTGGGCAGGTGGTCAAGGTTGACTGGGTTCTGCTCAGTCCGGCGAGTGCTTAGCATTGGCAGTTTCTCTTCCATGAAAGTGAAATATTGTCTAGAGAGAGAGAGAGGGGGGTGGGTTTTGAATTTGGTAAAGGGTTTGTGGGTTTTGGCTTTGGGATCAAAATATGGACACAGTCACATAGATATATACACACACAAGGAAAATGAGTATGCCTATTTGGTAATTAATGATCAATAAATCTATGTGGTTATTACTGCGAGTAAGCAAAAGATGGGATTTATTAGATATGGTCTTTGGTCAAATTGAATATGGTATGGTACTTTTTGTGGTGCCACCTGGAAAGATGAGTATTTTATGTTAGCTTTATTTGGAACTTATGATGGTGTGAAAGATTAGTGCATAAGTAGCAATTTTGTAAGCATTATACTTGTACAAAAAGAAGTTTTAGGGATGCTTTTAGCCCCCCCTTCTATTATGTGGACCTACTTTTATCATGTGACTAATCATCTTTCTTCAAAAGAGCTTTTGTTTGCTAGAGGATAAAAATGATAGGAAAGTTATTAAACCATTTCACTCTGGAGTCTTCACACACACACCAAAACACATACAAAAGTGATGAACACCATTTTTCAACATACCAACTCTTTTTTCTTCCTGCCAATGTGGTGGTCTAGCCCATCGGCATCATAGTTGTGTGTGTATAAGAAATTCTTCTTCTCTCTAATTTAGGCTTTCGCTTGTACTTGAAAAAAAAAATATTTTCTTCCTTTTTGGACTTCAGCCAAATTTGCTAAACATCGATTAACAACATAATTCAAAGTCTCTTCTTTTGGAATCCACCTTAGATCTTCGTTGTAACTCTTTCTTGTTTAAAAATAATCCATTTACCTACAAAAATATTTCAAAGTATCTCACTCTCATTGCAGCTTCAATGGTGACAGAGGCATGTAAAAATGAATGAGATGTCAGAAGGGCTAGTCTCCTTGGGTGGGGGTGACCCAAGTGATTATGTTTCTTAAGCTAAGGACTTGGCAACGTCCAAGGCCGACATGTTTGGAGGTCAAGACAAATTTTTAAATGGAACCATTTTTTCTCATACTGTTTTGAGAGACACAAAGCTGCGCACTGGAGAGGGACCTATGCTAAAATGCGCGTGCCTGCGCACGTCATCATCTACAACTTTGGCTCTTTCTTGGTATAAATAACACCCTTTTCATAAAAATCTGACTACCAACGGATCGAAAGAAGAGAAGCAGCCTTCTTTTTCATCTGTAAGGCTTTTTTTGTTTCTTAGCCAATGACTATTGACTAAAGGAACACCCTTTATTCCTTTTGCCTCATTTTTCCTCACAATTCCATGAATCATATTTGCCAAATTGTGTTTTGTGTTATAATTCCATTGTTCAAATGTGTTTTGTACCCTTTTTTTGGGGAAATTAGAGATGCTAATTGATCTCCTTCAATAAGGGAAGACTTTGAGTACGTCTCTCAATAGAATATTGTGGCTGAAGCTTGCTTTACATGGAGCCAAGAACTAAAGCTTCAATTTTTATTTTTAGTTGAGAAGATATAAAGCCTTTCTAACAGACTCATTGAGAACATAGCCCGGTAGTAGGTACCACCTTTGCCTGGTTGAAAGTTGAAACTATTCTATCAGACTGTTTCTGCAGCCAGAGTTTGCAGATTCTGTTTCCTTTACCACGAAACCAGTAACACAACTTGATCAGTGCAAAACTCGAACAACCCGAAACTTATCACGGGCGGCTGAACATCTTATGGCTTTAGTTTGAAGAATTGCAGGGTGTAGTCTCAATTTATCTCCACTTTTTACTTGTAACATGTTAAGAGAATGGTACGAAGAAAAACACAATAAATAAAATCAGGATCTATGAAATGAAGAAGACAAAAGTTTACATGAACCAATTACTGATGAATCTATTTGATCAGTAAGAGTGAAATTAGCAATTGGGAATATACAAATCCAAGGAACACTTTATCTATTAGACTGCAAACCAGTGCCACCATAGTATTGCTTGGTGGTTTCGCGTGAGAAATCTGCAAATGTCATCCCATCCTTCAACCGCAATGCCAGAGGTGGTACAATCTTCTGTATTTCTTCAGTGAGCCTACTTTGTTCCGGCTCATCGACTTCTTTGATCTCTGTCGACATCCCCAAGTTCATGGGATACTCTGTTATGGAGAAAGTTTTGTTCCATGCAGGCTGCAAGAACACAACAAAAGTCTCTCTGCTCAAATTTTCGAACTTGGAAGGCCTAGCAACAGAGTGCAGGGTGGCGCGAAGCTTTCCTCGTGATATGATATCAGCTGACTCCCCAACCTGAACTATAAAACTCTCATGTGAGGCCTTCACCATGAACACATTATTCTTGATGGGATCAAATATTTGCAAATAAGTATGCCCATTTGTATAGGGGCATTCTTCATCTCTTTCCTCTGTTGCTTCTTGTGCAGAATTAGGCAATAGAAACATTGGAGCTGTTAAGACAGTGAAAATCCCATAATCATAATGCCATTGCTGCCACAGATTATCAGAACCAATCCCTGAAAGTTGTTTGTGTTCATCACCAATCTGTTTCCCGCTAGAATTTAAGGGTCTTTTTGATGTTCTCTTTATGCTCATAGCTTCTTTTACAAGAATGGTTTTATCAATTGGGGAATGGTAGTGAATGAGGCGAGCTTTAGCAGTGCAAGATTCCAATAAGCTCTGCTCAAGCTCATTGCCACCAATGGCTCTGTCACAAACTCGAGCAAGCTGGAGCCCAAGCTCCATCATGCAAACCCCTAACTCTCTAAACCCATTTCCAAGATTCTCAAACTCAACCGTTGATCCATGCTCTGAATTCAATTGGGTTTCATCAAAATCATGTGAATATTTGATTTGCATTGCGAAAGATGACACATTTCTCTCAGGGTTTTTCAAAGGCACATCGCTCCCCAATTTGTGATCCTAAACAAACACATAATTAATTACTTCGGCAAAAACAAAATCTAGAAAGATTTTTACTTTTCCTTTTGTGGTGGGAAATTTAGTACCTTGAGGATAGTTTTACGATGGTTTGGGTTCAGAAGGGCGAGCTTGCGAGCGAGAGGGAGGAGGTCACGACGGAGAGCGGCGGCGTTGGGGACTCCGGTGATCGATAGCAGGCCTGGGCCCATGGGCCCTAGGGCTTCCATTATGGCTTTGCTCGTTGACTGCAACTTCTGAAGCTCTTCCGCTGACGACAATGATACATTGTTGGACGACACAAGTACGAGATCCGGGTAGCTGACCTCGTAGAGTTGTAGGAGTTCCGCTTCGTCCATGTCTCTGTCTGTCTGTGACAGTTTTGTTTTCCCGAACTTGTTCGAATTTAATGTAAGATGACGCAGAATGCGGCGCAATCCAAAATGACCTAACATTATTTTATATTTATTATTAAAAAAAAATTAGCTATAATTAATGTATAATTTAATAATATATTTTTAGGGTTAATTATTTATGAGAGATGAGTGATGAAAGATCAGAGAGATTGAAAAATAGGTGAAGAAAAGAAGAAAAAGAACCATCAAAAGTCACAACCAAAAACCATTCAAAACTGTTTTAGTTTATATTTTACAATTCCACTCACTTTAAACACTTTCGATGCCACCTTCAGCATGAAGGTTTAACCAGCTACTCTTTATGTTTTCGAATTCCAGAAATCAAAGACGGAGAATTTACAAGTTGAAGCAATCATAGTGTGAGATTTTGGGACTAGGTTGCAGTCTCTTTGAAGCTCTTGGTCAACCAAATGGCAGTTTCCCTGGGAGAAACCTTCTCAGGTCCGAATGGCTTCAACAGCACCCCAAGCTCTTCGAACCTTTCCTGTTGTAGAAGACGTGCACTGAACTCAAGCAACCCTTCCAATGCCTCTGCGCGTTGCTGGAACGATGAGGTGTCAAACCGCTGCTGTCGTGACTCGGAAGATGAATGGCTCGAAACACCAGTGGCAGTATTTTGATCAGAGGACTCGCTGCCATTTCGAGCAGCTCCATTGCTGACATCAATCAAACTGGACTTGGCAACGGTTCTGTCAACAACTTGGACCATGCACTTGTCCTTTGTGATGGAGCGGTTGATGCTGCCTGGGGTAGTAGTAGAGAAGCATTGTGCTGATGTTGATGAAGTTCTACGGACAGGAATGAGTGGGTCTTCAGAAGAGGCTAAGGGGAATTCAGCCATCTTATCAATTCGTGGGGCATTCACAGAAACATCTGGGGACTCCAAGCTTCCCAAGGGACCTACATGGGCTCTATATGGGGTTTGCACAGCTGCAGCTCTAGTTGAGAATGGAAGAGAAGCTCTTCGTGTTGACTGGGAAGATTTTCTGGCTGGAGAATGTGACACCGGAAGCTGCAATCATAAGAATAAGGGTCAATTAATCAGCAACCTACACAATTCTTCCCCACAAAGTTGCCAAAAGTAATAAATAATCTCACTGAATTGTTAGCCACTTCAGTATGAACTTACTGAATCACGTTTTGAGCTGACGTGAGAAATTTTCGACTGCGTAATCTGTCTCCTAGGATTAGCAGAAACTTTTGCCGGTGTCGATCTCGGAGTATTAACAACGGTGAACTTCGTCGCCACTGACTTTTTGATACCATAATCTTCATGGGCACTTCCAATAGATACTTCGGTGAACTTATGATTTAAACAACTTGGAAATTCCTGCACCCCCAGGCTAGAACATGGGGAGTCTTGTTCGGTTCCAGAAATACTAGGATTTAAGGTCCTGTCATTGCTGTATGAACGCCTTTTCTCTCTGAAAGTATGTACAGGAATAGCTTCTGGCTCCATGAATCTTGTTTTCGTTATATAACTGGACTGAGACCAGTCAACTGGGAAAGTATTCCGTCGAGGACTATTCAATTTTTGATGAATCTTAAGCACATAAGGTCGAAGATGGGGATGACCAAGCACCTCTGCAGCCTGACAAAACATGGATAAGTTTGTGAACAAATGCACAGAGATCGAATATTATTTCTATCAACATGCAGCAGCACCAAAACAATTTGTAGTTGTACACAGGCCATGCCCACAATGGCAACATGGACTTGATTTTGGGCCTTAATCTAGGTTATAAACAAGTCTGTGTAACTCAACAAACATAAATTTATGTGACTTAGATGGAGTCAGACACATACTCAGACTTAATCATCAATGACATGGTAATACACGCAGGCATTGATAAAAGAAAGTGTAGTAAAAAAAATTGATAAATAGAACTTACACTTGGCCTAAGTTCTGGGTTCTTCCGCAGCATGCTTTTAATAAGACCTCGACTGCAAAGGAAGAAAACAGAGAACATATCAGGGAAACACCTTTCATTGCATACATACAAATATTTGGGTAACGCAAGCACCTTCCATTAATTTATCATATTTTAAAGAAATAAATAAATAAAAACCCACTAAATTTCCACTGGCATGTCTAAACCACATATATGAAATTACAATCACCAAAAAGACTTGAGACCAAGGGCACATGAAGAGAGAAATAAACTCACAATGCACCAGAGTACAATGTTGGAAGCGGAGCCACTATTGACTTGTTTATTTTGTTAATCAGAGATTGTATATCCTGTAGTCAGAACAAATTTTATAAGTTATCTAGGAAAAAATCAACTCCTCAAGCCTTATGATTGTTGTTAAATGCAGAAATGGGGCAAAGAGGTAATACAAAATTCATACTAAATGAAAATCCGCAAACTTACAAAGGCTTTAAATGCAGGCCTGTGAGCAGCCATTTCATATATACAGCACCCTGGAATAAGCATTGTATTTAATGTGTATGCGGCTTAAAAGCCAAAAAAAACAGCAAAAAAGGACGGGCAGGCGGGGAGGGGGGAGATGAACATGCTGATTAAGTCAAGGAGATGCTAATGAAAGGGAAAACTTACCTAAAGACCAAATATCTGACTTAGAACCATACGGTATATCGGCAAGAAGCTCAGGGCACATATAACTCGGAGTTCCCACAACCTGTACATGGAGCAGAACATCTTGGTCATGCATAAGCCAGTGTGTAAAATTTAAGATTGCCTTTATCAGGTGAACCACTTACAGAGGAAGCTAGATCGTCAGAAGTTAACATTTTGGCGAGACCAAAATCACCTGCATGTATTATCATGTAACTATAAGAGACAATTTCCAACGACTAACTGAACAATGTGTAAACGAACTTGGAATGCCAATCAGCATCAAGGATACAAAAAGAACAATAACTTACCTAGACGTATGTCTTGATCTTTTGTCAAAAATATATTTGAACACTGAAGCAAAGGAACACAGTTAGAGCAAATTCTGCAATTTCAAACATGTAGCCCTAAACAAATCTCTCCCTCAACTTGCCACTGACCTTTACATCACGGTGAAGAATATGGTTGGCATGCAAGTAATCAAGGGCCATCAAGAGTTGAACTAACCATGTACAAAGTTTCTGTGCATTTCCAATTTTCAAGCAAGAAACATAAATTATCAGAGTTTGATTAAATATCTAGCACACAATTGTTTGAGATTTTATAAAACCAAGTGGAAAGTTCGCTGCAAAAATAAGAACCTCTTCTGGAAAATGAACACCATGGGCCTTTTTTACAGCTTCTGCCCTGTACAGCAACAGGCATTGACATGAAATGATCAGAAAAGCAGCAAAAACAAGGAAAATTCAAATAATTCCTACACTAGTTATGAAGGGATTTGACCAAGAAGCAAAACTCACATGTCTCCTCCTTCACAATACCCTATAACAATGCACACAAAGCAACCCTGAAACGAAGGCATTGAAGCATCAATTGCAGAACTGAAGAATTATAACGAACATGAATTCCTAGTATCTCATGAGGGCATTAGAAACAAAAGTTATCATACTGACCCGTTCAACCCATGAATCTTTGTACTCCACAATAAATGGATTCTGTACCGTGGAAATAAGCTCCATCTGCATCACAACGAACCAAGACAGCCATTTAAAACCCAAATTGGTACCTCCATCATTCAAGTATTACTCTACTCTTAGCATGTGCTCATGGATTTAGTTTTAAACCCAAAAAAGAAAAGAAAAACACTGACCTCCTGGTGAGCAGATCTGCGGGTTCTATCAGTTTGACGAGCAAGACGGATCTTCTTCAAGACATACCTATGCATGTATGTATGAATGAATAATCAACTTTATCTCTCAGACTCAAATGAATATTAAAATTGAAAGGGGACTCACTTCTTCTTTTCATGCTTATGCCTCACGAGAAGAGCAGAACCAAAAGAACCTTTCCCAATCTGCTCTAGAACTTCGTACTGCTCCATCTTACACTTGTATCACTCTCCCTCTTCAGTGTTTGTGAAAGACTTTCACTCCTAGAAAGAAATCAAAAACCATACAGCTCATGAAGGATGTTACAAACACATGCTCAAAAAACCATACAAGACTCAACCTTTATCACAAGCCTCAGAAAGGAAACACATGTACCAACAAGCATACAAACAAGCATGAGGTCCTAGGGAGTTAGTAATTAGTAAAAATCATGAAGCAGAGTTTGATCAATAAGGTAGTGAATCCAACCAAATCAACCCAGTGAGTTTAAATAAGGAATTAATACATGGTAAACCCTACCAAATCAACCCATTGAGCTTAATTAAGGATTGAATTAAATTCAAATATATTTTCAACTGATCTAAATCCGAACACTCACTATTCAATATGAACATGTGCATGAATTTATGGGAAGTAAGGGAGATAAAACCAACAAAGAGAATGAATGCATATCAGAAATTGTAGCAGAAAGTAAGAGCAAGAACAACATGAAATTAAAAAAAATGTACCAAGAATCAAGAACAAGCAAAACAGCTCTAAGGAAATCGAAGAACAAGTAAACTCCAGCTTTTTCTTTCTTGGCTTAAAACTTCAACTAGTTATAAAAACAGAAAACTAAACCTTTAAAACGTTAGAAATAGTAATATACTTACTTAAAATATGAGGACAAAATTAGGAAATTATGATAAAAGCTCTACACCTACTTCTCCTAATTTCTTAATTTCCTAATATTATCCATCCATCAGAGAGAGTGAGAGGGTGAGCGGCAAAAGAATTAAAAAGAAAGCAAGCTCAGAAGAATTCAAGTTCAAAATTTGCAGAGAGAGAGAGAGAGAGAGAGTTTGTTTTTGGATTGGAAAAGATTCTTGAGGAGGACTGAAAATCCAGAAGGGACCACACTGCACGGGCGAGGAAGGAATTGAAATTGGGAAAGAGCCAAAAAGGGCTCCACTTCTCTACGCTTTCATCAATTCATACTCATACGTACTTCAGTCTCCATCCCTGTCGTTCAAACAGACTTCCCTCTTTTGACCCAAAACGGAAACGGACTTTCCTGCCTTTTTCTTTACGCTTTTTTCTGAATTTCAAATTTGGCGGAGGCATGCTTGGTGTGCCTTTTTGCTGCTTGGGCTATTGAGTTTCAAATTACAGATCTAAGGGGCTTGGTGGGCTTTTTTGGAAACTGGAGTTGGTGAGTGGGCATCATTTTTGTCCCCGTAGTTTTAATTTGTCAATTTTATCCTTCTAATTTTAAATATCTCGCAATTCAAGGACACGTTATAAATTCTGTCAAATTCCTCTCAATTCTGTCTAAAATACCTCTCTACGTAAGTGACACGTGCTTACTTCGTCACTAAATCTGACGAGAATATGTGTCCTGAATTGTGAGGGATATCAAACTACATAGGTCAAATTGTCATAATTGAAATTATAAGGACAAAAATAAAAAATCCCACAAATTATAAACATCAGAAGTGACATTTTGCCTTAAACTTATATATAAGGTGGTTTGGAAATGTCACCACCAACCTTTCAATACATTTTTGCTTGAGCAATTGTTGCTATGGAGATGCCTACTCAAGTGTCTAGGCCTGAGCAGAAAGCCCATTTATTGAACATTCCAACTACTTCCACCACATGAACATGCCCATTTAACAACTCTCCACTAACCCCAAATCTTTATTTAATTGACTGTATCAAGATCAATACAAACATATACATGTGAATAATCAAATGGGCCAAAGAGGCTTCATTGGAAGATAAGAAACTTTGTTTTTGTTGTGTTTGATTTGTTTCTTCTTGTTAATTTAGACCAGACAGAAACAGTCACTCATCATGTCTGAGCGCATGCACTTTGCAAGGCCAACTTGCAAGAACCACACTATATAGACCAATATCAGGCATGGATGGAGACTTTCAATTGGATTTTGGAGACCCATCTCTGTCTAATCCATGATGCTTTTGTGAAGGTTGCCGTGCAGTGCAGCAATAAGTTTTTAAGGTAGGGTCAATCTTCAAATGTTGCAGAGATATATGAAATGGCTCTAAAAGTAGAGGTTAAGGGGGTGCTTATAATACAATCAACGCCTCTGTCCACAAAGATCCATTAGCATATCTCCGAATCTGGACCACCCGCCCCGCCCCACGTTTTGTGCACACTATATGTCGCTTAGGATGCTCTAACAGTCACAAGTATGGTGGGTTAGCGTAGCTAGCCTGAATCTCACGCACAACGAGTACAAATGGTGTGTGTGTTTCCCTGGAAATTTTTTTAATTTCAACTTTCAAAAGCATGGGAAGAGGAGTTTGGAGAATGACAAGAGACAAGCAGCAGAGTAGTAGTTTCTTTCACTTTAACTTTGCTACTATAAAAATATGTTTATCGATGGCATCGTTTTTCTTGCATATATCTTTCGTTCCTTTATTCTGTATGATTCTTCTTGATCCGATCTTGCACATTATCTTTTGTCTGCCTCCATGATATGTCAAGGGGATTATAACATTGTAACATTCAGCTCATGCTCTTGCTCATTTATTTAATGGATATATTTATATCTATATATATATATATATAATAACATTCGGACGTCCGGATGAGAGAAAAACTAAATATATTCTGGATTCATTCTATATAGTTTACGTACTTTATACTCACATACGGTATATATCCCTTAATTTATTTTCTTTATAGAAAAAGTAATTGGATCAAGAAATATACACTTTTCAGAAAAAAGTAGCATGATATGTGGATGGGCCTAATATAGCTGAAAAGAGAATCTCTGATAAGGCCTTAGGTGTTTTGTAAGGAAAATGCATGGAGGAAGAGATGCTCATAATATAAGAAAAACTATTTGATAATTGATAGAGGACAGCATCACTAGAGTGAGAACAACAAAGGAAAGGGAACCCATCTTCTTCAGAATATAAGTCCATTTTTAAAAGTATATTCTGGGAGTGGACAACCTAACATTCATGAACAGATATTAATTTGTTTTTTTCTCATCTAGCAGAGCTTTCTACTTTCACTCTTCTTCTGTTTTATGATCTCCATGAAGTTGAAGAAATTAAGGACAGCATTGGAACCATTTCCTTGTCAACTTTTGCCAGTGGACTATAGACTCTGCTTGCTCTTTGCTTTCTATAACTGGCAATTTGGCAGCAAGTCTTCCACCCCAAGCATTTGAAATGGGGTTACCCCACCAAGGTAATATACGTTCTCTGGGGTTGTGGGGGGGCCTATCCCCTTTGTTCCCACATACTTGGCTAAAACAAACTAAGACAAAGGGTTCAATGTAAGGCACAAATACAATGCTCTTTGCAACATGCATTTGCAATGATCTCAACAACCACATACCAACCAGAATACCTTTAACTATCAATAAACAATTGTGGTGCAAAGAAACAGTGCTCCCACATTGGAATGGTGGGGGGGGTCATCTTTCACATGTCCTGTTGCTCCTCAATTATATAGCATAGTGGTTTGTGGAAACAGTGCCTGTGTCTGCAGAGTCCGCAGAACAGCAAGATTTGTACCATAATTCAGGTTGAAAATATTTTAGATATCTGTAGCCACCAATTCTGCTCCCTCTAAAGACATTATCATGCTCTCTTTTCTTTTATTGGAAACTCTCATTTATGGTGAGGCCACAAATTCTGATTGAAGTCAATCAATAATGCAGATTGAAGTCAATCGATAATGCAGATAAAGATCAAATTAATTCAAAGTATATTCCTGCATTCATCAAAGCAAAATGAGTGATCCTAATGAAATATTAGTAAGTCTTATCAGTTGGGATTATTACTCAACAAATAAGGAAAGAGTTGGTTTACTAGATGAATATGATTCATCACAATGTAGCACTTTATTTAACTCATCAGCTGGGGACACGAACTTCAATTTTTCTGTATACACTTTCTTCGTCAATCTGCATTGGACAGGAGCAAACTGTTGCTTTTTGAGAAGGAAAAAATTTGCACGAACTTCCATTGTTGCTAAGACAGCTGCCCCATATCTACACATTTCAATCAACCTATCAAAGGCTTAGCTATATATAGCTTGCATATATATATATATATATTATGGAACCCCTCAAGTTATTTTTAATTTGGTCACAACTCAAATCCTTTTTACACCAGTTAAACCTTGGAATTGTATTGATATAATCCTACAAGTTATGGGGGTTGATCTGCATACTTATATTGATTTTGGTTTTGTAAAGCAAAATACACCAGAGCCACAAAGTAGAAAAAGAAGACCTAGCTGGCTACCACAAAAACTCAAAGTAAGCAAGCAAGCTTTTTTTTTTTTCCTTTTTTTTTTCAAGAACCTCGACGGCACGAGGAGAACTGTATTGATCAAAAGAAATATAGAGGGGCTTAATACCTGACCTGAGTACAAGCATCCACAATAAGTAAATCAGAAATAACATCATGTGGTTCTTCAAACCACTCAACCCTATCGCTATACTAGTACATATGGCTATTCTAGCAAGTCAAGCTTTTAAGAGAGGGAATGGCATTCTGGATTTTTTTTAGCCTCTTTGGAGGCAAACATCCACTATCTATGAAACAAACAACAATTATTACTTACTTTGGTGCTTAATTAGTTCGCATTAACTGGTATGGTAATTGAGCATTAATTTGCCTTCAATTATTGTGTCCCTTTACTGAAATCATGGATATTTGGCATGATTGTTCATTGCACCAATATAAATATTAGGATTTAATATTCATCACCAAAATCATAAATTACTTCAGCATGGCATGATTAAGGTTAAGTGGGGTAAAAAAAAACTATTATTAAATTCAAGCAACAAGAGCAGAAAGTTAATAAAAATAATTAATCTAATCGTAAGGTGCGCATGCAATGAAAATTAACCTAAACTTGTAGTTAGCACCTAAATTGGAACTAGAAAAAGACATATGCAGCAGACTGTAGTTGACAATTATGCATATTGAAAGCGAAATAAATTATTAAAACCAATTAATTAAGGAAGGATTATAGAAATTTCCATATGGAGGCCATGGGTGAGGTTTTTGTCCAAGAAGGTTGTAACTTGAGCAGGGTTTTTCTGAGCAGAAGCTTTCTGATCAAGCAAATTAAACATAAATTATTTTATGCAAGTGGGATCTTGGATTCGATTCCCAGCAATGACAAATAGAGTTTTAACAAAATAATAATACTACTTAACAATTGAACTCGTCAGCAAAATGTCAACTTTAGAAATTTAATTAGCACATTTAGCATTATTTCTAATCTTCCTCTCATTCCTTCGAGATTCTCAAAAAAAAATTCGGTCTTCAGTATTTATACATATCTCACTTATCACATATTCAAGATTATTGACAAGCCTTAGAGCATCCACAATGACGCACTCTATTTCTTAACTAAAATTTAGCTAAGAATATAATAAAGCTATTTTAGGAGCTCTCTAAAAAAATTCAACTCCAACCATACTCCCTAATTTTGAGAGTCATAAATGCTATAACTCTTTTTTGATTGGTCAATCTCTATTAAAAAAATAAAATAAAAAATAGTTAGCATTAAATAAAGGTTTGAAATACTCATTAAATTATAGGGAGCCACTAAGAGTCATTTCTCTTTTCTCAGATATAGGAGCTCCTAGAGGACTCCTTAGTTTAGGAGGTGGATGGGGAGCGTGGTTGGAGTTGCATTTTTATCATTCCTTCCTAAAATTTTTCTAAGGAGGTGGTTTAGGGAGCCCATTGTGGATGCTCTTAACAACTTTCTTACATAAATTTATTCAATAAATAACTAGGCACATTTCCTGCGTGAAATGTTTATAATTTCTTGTTTTAGGTAATGTGCATGATCTATGTTTTATAATCTGGACTCTGCATTTAGCCTGTTGCAAATAAATATATGTTCAGAATGACTCCGAACTTTCAGGATTAATACCAGACATACGCATGTGTTAAACATGATTAGTAATTATAATTAGAAACCCCCCTTAGATATATAAATTTGAATCT